ACGACCACCTGAATCCATCGATCTGATTCTCAACTTTCTCGACCAATTCCTCAAAGCCCTTGGGGTAGCCACCCACCCCGAAATTCTCGTGCTTCGTAAACCATTCCGGCGGGTTGTACTCTTTGTCTTTTTTGAGCAGTTGGAATGCCAGGGGGAGCATTGACTTTTTGATACGCTTCGAAATCATCCACCCGTAGACATCGTTGTTCTTGAGCTTGGCCCGCACGTAGGCTTCCCGGAGTGCAGCCACCACCTTGATCACTCCATCGCACTCGTCTGGCGACGCTAGCTTCGGCTGCAAAACGAGACAATATGCGTTGGGGTACGCGGTTAAGACTTGCGTAGTCTAGTCTAGTCAAGATTGTTGTTCAACTTGACTGTTGATAAAATTATACGGTCACGAACTCCCTCACCTTGGTTTTGTTTTTCCTCTTTGTAGCTTTAGCCACCGCCTTTCCTGAAACTGGTCCACCCGCAGTCCCACCATTTTGGTCGCCGGCAGCACCACCCGCACCAACGTCATCGCGACCACCGACGACAGCAGCGGGCCTAGCCCCCGGATCAACCGTAGCTGCAGCAGCAGTAGCGCTCTGAGCTGCGAAGACGGGCTCAGAGGCGACGTGGGGGTCGGGAGCTCCATCTCTCTTGAGGTTCTCGCGTTTCCGAGCATCCGACATGTCACTGGTGACAACAGGTAGACCCGTGGCATCGGCAAAACCTATCCTAAACACGTCGGCCCCATCCACCACCTCTACCCCCAGGTTGTTCCTTTCAGATACCACTTCTTCAAATGTGACGCGAATTCCGTCCTTCACACACAATTCCGTGGCCATTTTAAAATACTTTAGAGCCTTCTCTCCCTCGTGCGCAAAGAGATGTAGGCGTTTCTTGTGTGAGGGATGGTGTTCTCCGTAGGCCTTAACCTGACCGACTCCACTCTTCCAATTTTTGAAGTGCTTGATCTCGATTACTTCGTCTCTCGTGAAAACGTCGATGGAGCCTGCCGGGGTCCCCCATTCGGTTTGACCTCGGGTGTGGCGAGCGAGCGCATCCCTGACATCCTTCTCGTTAACTTTGTTTGACGCGTTTTTTTTCGAGTGCATTATTGAGTTGCTCTCGTTTGAGGCCTGTGCGCCATCGGGCGAGAGAGCGTCACTGAGAGAAGCCATGTTGATGGTTGCGTCAAAATGACTGAACGTTGAACAAACGAACAACAAATCTTTTCTGTATAGATTTCTCATGAGGCGCTTGCCGCCAATTTATCGCCAGAACGATGCACGTGTGTTACACACGAACTCTGGATTTAGAGGCGCGTTTAACGCCCGGAGACGAGGTGTCAATATAGCTGACTCTTGCTGACAGACTCCACTTATTTTTTCTTGCTCTTACGAGATAATCCACGGGGCTAAGGAAATCGCAATCCCAGGCAGACGGCAGATGCATGACAGGCACATGGCCGACAAACTCCATCTTACGGACAGACTACTCGCCAAGGAAAACAAACACCCAGTCTGCTCTACCCGCCGACGTTTCATCCTGCTCTGCCAAGACGATTTCGATTCTCTACGCCGTAGCCTCATCGCTCCACCACACCCACGCCTCACCCTTGTCAACAAAGAACTCCTTAACGTATCTGTTGAATTTCTTCTTCTTGTTCTGCTCGATGCAGTCCCATTCCTTCAGAACATCACCACCGTCTGTCACAAATTCGGCGTCGTCCCTGGCCAGCCTACGAACCACGCCAAACTTCCCATTGCGATTCTGTTTGACGCTCAAGTAGCGATACACAGGATCCTTTGTCCCGGTGCCCAACACCATCTGTCGCTCGCGGGCGCGCTTCAACGCCGTCGTAATGCACTTCAAGATGAAGCGCATTTCGCTCTCGATCTTCGATGAAACTGTCTCGTCCGACATCATTGTGGCCTGTATGAATGTTGTCAAAATTGGCGTCATCAGTTTACACGTTTGTGACAGAAGACCGGGAAAAGTAGGGTAGTACACCACCGATCTTTAAAAAACCCAGCTCTTCTTTAGTTTCAAACTCACCGTGACGTAAGTTTCCCCTGTTCTCTCCTTCTTCGCCCGTGGTGTAAGACACTCGGGATCCTCTGTTCGCAGATGTTTCTTCGACGTCGCGCTGCCGCTAGACGCTGCGGCTCCCCCCTCGTCCCCCTCCCTCTTCTTCTTCGCCATGAACTCCTTGAAGTCTTGTGACAGCCCCATGGTCTTGATGAACTGAACTTCGTCTGACGCTCCCCCGGTAACCCCCCCGGTAACACGGATCCCTTTCCTTTCTAGGTCCGCGAAGTAGCTGACCAACTCCTGGATCCCGAGCGACACGTCTGCATCTTTCTCGTTTTTCAGGTGTCCATGTTGGAGTGGTCCAAGAACGGCGTCGTTGTATGGTCCAACCAGCATCTGGAATCGACCGTGCACAAAAAACGCCGAAAGAATCAGTTCACTTCGTCACGGTGATCGAATTTAGCTTCAATTTGAATTAGATTTCGTTCACATCACTCCAGAAAACCATGAATTAGAATTCGTTCAACATACCTTGACACCCGTGTCCATGGACTCCGCCAGTCGAAGGAGAGGTGCGTCGCTCAGGTTGTAGCCCTTCCCGTAGAAATACTTCACCGCCAGCGAGGAAACCACCGTCCTCAAGTTGTGCAGGGTCAAATTCTCCACACCCAAGAACGTGCTCCCCACCTTCTTCATCACGATGTCGAATGCTCCTTTCTGCTTCATCTTCCCGATGGACTTCCCGCTGGAGTTGGGGATTCCCATCTCGTCTTCCAGGACGACACCCTCCTTGTCGTAGAACGCCCATCCAATGACGAGCAACACCGTCAGCCACTCGCTGCAGAGCGGGTCAAACACACGCTCTTTGCATTTCCCGGTTTTGCCTTTTCCCGGTGGCCACATCGTCACGCGGTCGACGTTCCTCCCGTCACCGAGGCCACGACGCCCGGTAACCTTGTTCTCAGATCGGATGTGGGCTGTCCTCTTCTTCAGAAACCGATGAAACTGGTCACGAAGACACGCCCCGTTGAAAGCGCTCACGACCGATGTCGCTCCCCAGGCAGCCTCGAAGTCTCGTAGCTCCACGCCGGCAACATTCAGCTTTTCCACCATGTGAGCGATCCGTTTCTTTTCCTCCCTGCTCCGGCCACCGAAGTGATCATGGTCAGTTGCAAGGGGGTTAGACTTGTCGGTGGCGTCTTTGAACCCATCCACGACAATCTTCCAGCACCGACCGTTCTTCCCCCATGCACCCGGGTCGATGCGGTCGATTTCCCCCCGCAAGAAACCCCAACCGTTCTTGGTCAAGGCCTCCGTCATGAGTCGCAAGCATTCCTCGCTCTTCAACGGATCAAGGAGCAAGAGGGGCAATTTGCCCTTCTTCAGTGTGTTGGAGTCTCCCTGCTTTCCGGTCGTGGTGTCGTCGTAATTCTTCTTTTTGCCCCGCGCATCCGTTACCGTTGATTTCGTCAGCTCAAAAATCGCCACGGCTGTGTCAATTTGTTTGTCCGTGTTGTCGCAAACCCCTCCGTTCTGCAAAATCCACCTGATGACGTGCTTAGCCTTTCTGGTCTTCGTGAACACATTAACGTGCGCTGAGCTGTCAACGACCGAGCCATACTTCTGCGTGTCGCGCGACTCTATCTCCAACGAGGCCGGAAATAGATCCGGGTAAATCATGCTCGACCGCCGCACCGCGAAACGCGTCGCCCACGACATGTTTTCACTGGTCGACGAAGTGCCCAGACATTGCCTTCGGTTGACGTCGTCTTCCTCCCAGCCACGGAAAAATTGGCCTAGTGCCGTGACTTCTTTGTCGCAGAGCGGATGGTAACCTTCGTGGAGGCTGACCGGGCGACCCAGACGGTATGCATACTGTGGCACGCGTAACATGTGGTTGATCACCGCCTTGAAGTCTCCGGTGGGTTTCTTGCCAGGGGGGTAGCTGGACCTGATGTTCAGCATTATTTTGCTGTCCAGACCGCTCATGTCACCCAGCAACTTCTGCAAGCCGTTGAGCTCACCCAGAGACCCTTCCCTCTCCGCAAACGTTCGTAGATCGTCGTCTCCCTCTTGGATTTGACCCGGGAAACGTAGCCCATCGATCGCGTCCACCACCTTCAGTTTTTTTAGAGCGGCCTTCGTCAAAGACCTCGCGGTCATGGCGTCCTCGTGGCGTGCGGACACGTCCATCTTGTAAGTCATGTTCGCAACTTGCACTCTGCCTTCCCCCTCGGGGATTTTCGCTTGTCCGTAGTTGAGATAGGGGACCTTGGTCAACCACATGTTCCCGTACTGCAAGATGAGGCTGATGGCAAACTTCCGTTGGTCCTCTTCGAGTGTCGCGTGACCTTGGCCGTCATGAATCCGATTCTCCAGAACCTCCCACTGACCAAGCTCGATCACACACGAGTCCCCATCTCTTGCAAGACTGTATCGACCATCCTCAACCGAAACCACCGTGTAATGGACGCCGTCCATGTTCACCCTAGTTGCGCCCATGATGATCCCAATGTCACCAGGAAACACTTTGCTGACCATGTTGTACGACTCCTTGAACCCTTTCGTGCGGACGTTGAAGTAGACTTCGTCCTTCACGATTTCGAGATCATCCTTATCCTTCGTCAAGCCAGCCACTACGAGCTCCTCCAACTTAATGGCTGAAATGGCGTGGGTCCCGGCGTTTTTTCCCGCTTCCCCGCCAGCTTTGGCCCAAGTTCCGTCGGACATAGCTTTACGGTCTTTGATTTCACGCCTGGACCATTTCTCATGTACCCGCATTTCTGGCGAGACTGGTTTGATCAGATGGTCCCCCAATTGGGTGCGGCCGTCCCAACGCGGAGCCAAGAAACCACTCTCTGTCTCAGCGCTGCTGATCTCGCCATCTTCATCGCTGCCACCCTCGTTTGCGTCGCTACCACCCTCACTCTCTTCCCCCCCACCTGTGTCCATCGTTTCGTCGTCGTCCGTGGTTTCAGGGGACGAGTACTGCTTCTTCTTTTGCTTCCCAGACGAAGGCTTTGGGTCGGCCGCACCACCTTTCACACCCTGTCGTTTATCACGTGGCAGGCAATGGGGTCACAAGGGCGTTTTTTGTCATTACCGTGAACTTTAGCATCTTGGAAACTTCAATGTTTTGTATATGTAAGCTTGACATGATGCCTTCAAAAAATGCGACAAACAATGGATACAGAGACGCCGCAAAAATCGACACATCCTCCCTATTCTACACTCTTGTGAAGTGATGTGTTTTCAAGAGAGATGGTTGTGCATTTGACACGTGAGATTTTTCGACATCTAACAAGAAAAAAAACATGCTGTCTAGCTCCGAGAATAAATCGCTTGTGTGCAATCTCTTACCCGCCGTTTCTTGGCCTCTGGATCCTCGTCGTCATCCAGCGCCCCCGTGTTGGCGCCCTCGTTCACTTTAGCTGACGGCTTCCTTTTCCTCCGTCCCACGACTTTGGGCGCCCAGCCGGGGGTTTTGTAGGAGTGACTCTGACAGAACTGCACTTCGCCACCACAATAGCACCAAGTCGCTACCTCGTCGCACGTGTCGTTTTGGCACCGCCCGTCAACTGGTGCAGCATCCCCCGGGGCCTCGGATGAAGACGGGAAACTCGACGCGGAAGCGGACGGAATAGCACCGGCAGACGCAGGTGCCTGGACGGTAATGAGACGAGAGTGATACGTGACGGTTAGGGAACGAAAACACGCACGTTTTATCAAGCGCATTCTTTTGCGGGTACGTTGGCCTGTGATCATAGGAATCGACCGCGTCAAGTGTTGGATCAGTACGGACATACAGGGGGTTTACTGGGGTGGAGAGATCGGAACGGTTTTTAATGTGAAGAAACAAACCCAAAATCTATCCTGGCCAAAGCAGAAACATTGTTCACAGCATACACACCTCCTCGTCTCCTGGGTGGGCTCCGCCCCTCACCACCCCAGACCAGGTCGCCCCGCGCGCCTCCTGTCCACGTCCTCCCCCACGCTTGCGTTCGACCCGTGTGTCTCTCGCGGGGCAAGGTTTGAGGTACTTGCTACCTCCTTGCCCTCCCCGGGTACTGGGCTGAGCCTTGCGCCTACCAGCCACCCGGCGCCCCCGGCGGGGCGGGCGCGCCCCCTCCCAGTGAGACCGGTACCGGGGAAGCTGGGCAGAGCTACGCGGCTTCCACACTACCGTGAACATTCTCTCGTCGTCATCCTCTTCATCTTCGAAACAAAGCACGCCGAACTGGTTCTCGCTCGTGTACTGAGGCCGGTTCGTACCCTACATGGAGAAAAGCAAAACAAACGATGGGGTTGCTTCTCAAATTAGTACGAGGTCGTTTCAAGCGCGCCATACCACGAAGACTGACACACTACCTTCCAACAACAGCATTGGTAAACATTGGAGTGTGTGGTATTATGCAGCTCCTAGGATTGAAGAGATCGTCGCATCTTTGTCGTAAGCCTGATGGAGTTGAATGTGCTTCGACACATTTTCAGAATTTTCTACTAGGTTTACAGAAGAAAAAAATGGGGGCCTAATGCGTACGCACCTCGCCACCGGTCGTCGTGCGACGACTCTTGCCCACGACATGCCACCCGTTTCCACGATCGGTGGTGTCGAGTCCATCGTCGCCGCCCGTCTTCGCCGCAGCATCGATGCTGCCGGAGGCCTCCGGCTGCTCCATGGCGGGGGCGTCAGCGGGGGCCTCCGGCTGCTCCATGGTGGGGGCGTCAGCGGCAGCCTCCTGCTTGGCGGGGGCGTCAGCGGCGGCTTCCGGCTGCTCCATGGTGGGGGCGTCAGCGGCGGCTTCCGGCTGCTCCATGGTGGGGGCGTCAGCGGGAGCCTCCGGCTGCTCCATGGTGGGGGCGTCAGCGGCGGCTTCCGGCTGCTCCATGG